TTGAAGGAAACTCACCCAGTGCTATAAAACTTGTCAATCCAAAGGTTCCTAATAGCTGAAAAGCAGTTGACAAGTAATTTCTGAATATGATTAGAAAAGGAAGTATGCAAACTTAGTGTCCTTTCAAAAGTGCCAACCATGGTTTGAGCAAGATGGTAATTTCCTTGTCTCCCAGAGTTCTAAACCTGCCAGAGACCACTATCTTGCAGTCTCCTTGTGAGGAGCAGCTGTCTGGAGCTGTTGTGGGTGATCTCAAATCCTCTCCTTGTCCTGAGAGGAATTATCAAAGAGCCAGGCTACTCATCAGCTCTTCATTTCACTGCAGGCATTGGCTCCGCTTTTCCTGGAGCCATCTTCAGTCCACCATTTCTTCCCCGGAAGTCCAGAAATATCTACAATTCGAAGGATCCAGAATTTGTTAATCAGTGTTTGGGTTTATACACTGTGCTAAGCCATAATGTAGTTTATTTGCTGTAGCAGGGTGAGCCCAGCCATTGAGATTTCTAATTTAATCTAAATTATGAATTACAATAAATTAGTTCTGTAAACTAATTCAATAAATCTTCTTGAACAACCAATGGCCTGGTTCATGCATTGCACCAAACCATAATGTATTTATCTGATTTTGGATTAGGAGCTGTAGGACACACACACCATTGTGGTTGTGAATCACAAAAATAAGTATAGTTTAATACTATGCATGAATTTACTCCACATGTAAGTAAATGGACTTCTAAGATTATTTACTATATCTCCTTACACTAGGATATAAATTTTATGATTACAGTTTACTGCCACAGGATAATTTTTAAAAAGTAGGATAAGAGTGGCATTGCGCTGTCCTTGATTATCCAGAAAACTTGGCTCATTTAAAAAAAAAAATCTACATGTTGCTCAATATTTTGTCAAAGACCTACTAAGATTTCCCAGTGCTATATACTAGACTGGGAAGTTAAAAGAATATCCCAAGAGGAAACAATGACAAACTATTTCCATATTGCTGCCAGTAAAACTACATGGACATTTGCAATGAAATCACCAGGAGTCAAATTCAACTCAAGTAAGAAAAGAGAAGAGAGAAAACCGTGTAATACATTTTAGACTTTTGCTTGTTTGCTTTTAAACTCTATTGTTTTCTCCATCCAGACCACATGCATTATCATTTAGTGCAATGAGAACCCAAAGCACAGCAAAGAATCTTGTTTTTGAATTAAATGTATTCAAAATTTATTCAGATTAAATCAATTAAAAACAATTTAATTTACTATTTAAATTAAAATTATTAATGTATTAATTAGAATAAAACTGAAGTGTCTGTTGGTTTTACAGTCCTAATTTATTGCAGACTTATTGATGACCCAGTGTTTTTGACAGAGTATCCTCACTATGTTTTTGAAGTTTGAAATCTTAAGAATTTAGCTGTCCTGCTCTAAAATGGCCACTAGGTGACACTACTATACCTATTTAATATCAGGTTCATTCCGTACAGTATATTACATTCTGGTAGGGTTGGCATATTATTATAGAGAAATTAGTCACCATAGAGTACTTGCAATAGCTGAACATTGTTTTCAAGCTAATATTCTAATAAGGTTTTTCTGCCTTTGACTGTAAGAACTTTTCTGGAGCTTTCAGTATTTTGAGCCTTTCAACATCATACTTGTTTGATGTTTTTATCCACAAGTATGCAAAATGTTTCAAATTCAAACCACTTCAAATTCCAAACATTCTGTTCAAGTTTTTTAGCTGTTTTGTCTTCAAGAAAGGCTATTTTGAAAAAGCTGAAAATGTTTCAAAACTTGCATAGAGCTGTTCTGAGCTTGAAATATTTCCAGATGATGAGACCAGCCCATTTTAAATGCAAAACAGCTGCTTTGAGCTCAAAATGGGGCATTTCAAATTCAGAATGGTTCAACTTTAAAACATCTTGCACTTCCCTATTTTTGTTCCATACATGTAACTATTTGGTTTGTTTGAATTTCACTAATGTTCATAATAGCCAAAGCCAACTATCATGATTCAAACTTTTAAATATTTTAACTATATTAATTGTTGCTCTATTTAGATTCTCTGGTTTGATTATTTCTGTGAAACTGCAGTAATTTAAAGTTTTTCTTTCAAAGAAATCATCTAGATACTCCTGTGTTATCTAGGTACAAATCTCTGTGTTAATTTGTAAAGATGGTGTAACTTTACACAGAGGCCAGTAGGGAGTGCTGTGACCCAAAACTTTCTATATGATTTGACAGCTATGGCAGAAGAAATAAATGGCTTAGCCAATATTAGTTCTATTCAGAGTTGCAGCAAGCACCCAGGTAGATGTGGTTGAGCCCAATCCTTAACTGACTTTCCACTTTTCTGATGAGTCACCAAGCACTTAGGATTAATTTTTATTGTCAAAGAAATGGACCACAGGGCCAGTGTACTGTGCTCATTGCATTTACCAATGCTGACTTTTAAAAATCAGTTAAATTTATATACACATATGTTTAGACAGCATTATTATATACAAAATGGAATTAAACCATTTTAAGCACCTGATTAGGCTAACTTGCAGCTGTAAATTCTGCTACCATGTTTTTCATCTTTTGTCTTGTCTGAGATGTAAGGTCTTTCTCTCTCTTTCAATATATGTATATTGTTTACTTTTGTTTGGAAATATTTGTCTTTCCTACCACAGGTAATCAGCGAATTTGAAGCTTCTCCTGACTCATTTTCCTACAGAATTCCTAATCTGAGCCGGAATCGACAATACAGTGTGTGGGTTGTTGCTGTAACAGCTGCAGGAAGGGGCAACAGCAGTGAAATTATCACCGTGGAACCATTAGCTAAAGGTGAGGATTCTGCCCTTCATAAATTGCACCACATGCACCTTAATAGAATTACTGAGTGATGGGGACTGAAAAGCCATTTATTGTAGTATCTGTTCTAAGGAAAGCAAAATTGTCCATCCATCCACCTTTAGGCCATTCCAAGTTACAACCAAGAGAACTAGATTACATCATATGAAAGATGTAGTGGACACTTTTGTATCTACCAGTCATGTCCAATCTTCCCCACCAATCATTTTGTTCTAAGTAAGACTTTACTGTTATTCCAAAGCAAGGATGGAGAAAAGTGTGGGAACAAGAATCAGGAAAGCAATGGGTAGTAGACACAATGGCTGCATCAGTGCTTGAAACTCTTAAAGATGAATTTTCCTGGTCTCTGGTTGGAAACCTGAATGGCAATCCTATAACATCATGCTGTAAATAGAGATCTGATAGACTTATTGCTGAAAGGCCTTTATAGGGCAAAGAGCTGTTACTGACACATACCATAGGACAGACACACTAGCTTTCCTTTTAAGAAAAAGGAAATGTTTAATCTCCATGACTACATAGATACTTTTGACTGTTAAGTGGCAAATTTGAACTAACTGCCTTAATCAGAGATAGAAATAAGCATATTTCTTTTGAGAGCACTTTGGAATTATCCTGGCCCTTTTGCTTCCTGCTCCTCATTAATATATACTAGCAGTACAACATAATGTTATTAGCTAGGTTTCACTTACTTCTCTTCCTTCTGATCAACTAAACTTATTTTATGGCAATGGCAAACCACTTCTGAAAAACCTTGCCAAGAAAACTGCAGGGACTGTCTGTCTAGGCAGTCTCCAAGAATCAGACACGATTGAATGGATATGTGTGTGTGTGTGTTTTATTGTGTATTTGATTTTGTGTTTTGTGTTTTGTACTTTTACTTTTTTTTTTTACTAGCACAATTCTCCTGAGAAGCAGATGCTTTTCTTGAAGAGGCCATAACCACAGTTTGGCCTCTTCAAGAAAAGCATTCAGCAGTGTAACCAAGGCCATTTTTCCAATAGGAGGTGTTTTTGCACCCCCTGATAATATGTCCATGTTAGACATCCTTGATGAAAAATGGCTGTGTGCTTTACATAGTTACATAGGATGATCATGTATATAATAGTTTCCTTCCTTTTCTTCTGCTACGTAGCCCAGCAGTGTCCAAAGTGAAGCAATCTTCATTGCTTTACTTACTCTTGAAGGACTGCTTTTAATGAATTTCTTTAACATATTATTTATATAAGAAAACCCACTGAGATTAAACATTCCACTTATATTTGATACTTTTCTAATGTTGGTCTAAATGATGTGAAACAGAGTCTTGCCCTGCAATCTGTTTTTCATTATGAGCTGTTGTTTCTACTTAATATACTTGGCTGAAATAATGCTGTGGTAGTATACAGGTACAGACAGTAATCAACAGTTTAAATATCCTTGGTGATTAATATACTAAAAGCTGACCAATGTCACCATCATCATAAAATTGGCAGACCCATCATCATCCAAAACAATTAATCATAGATATGACAATAATAATAATGGATGCCAATGAACTAATTAAGTACCAAACCCTTTCCAAAATAACTCATTCTTGATCAACTTTTAGAATACTAAAAGGGGACAAGTCTAATTTCTGAGGGAAGCTGGTCCATAAAACCGGGGCTACAATTGAAGAGCAAGGCTTCCTGGCCTCAAGTCATAGAAATGGGGAACAACCTACAGTTTCTCCTGTGATGAATGTACTAGACAGGGCAATTTGGACTGGAGAAAGTAGTTCTGCAGGCACTTTGGCATCATGTTATATAGCACTTTATACAGGTATATCAAAACCTGCACTTTGAGTTGACCCAGAAACCTACTGGCAATCAGTGCAAGATCTGCAATGCAGGTATTATGTGCTTCTGGCGATCAATATTTGCCAGTAAGCAGGTCACTGCATTCCAGACCAACTGCAGTTTCTGGGTAGTCAAGGCAGCTCCACATTGCAGCTCCAATGAGCATGAGGTACTGTTATAAATTCTTGTGTAGAATTGCAGCTGGTGCACCAGTTAGGTCTGCAGAAAGGCCCTTATGACTATGGTCTGCACATGTCCACCCAACAGTAGCTGTGAGTACAGGAGGATTCCCAATTCACTGACCTGCTCCGTTAAGGGTAGGGCCTTTCCTTCCAATCTCCAACTCTCATAAGCAGTCTTAGAAGAATGTCATGGTTGATGCTATCTAAGGCTTTTGGGAGGTCTAATAGGCCTGAAGGGATGCACTATCCTCATCCAGATCCCTCAAAAGGTCATTCAGCAGTGTAACCAAGGCCATTTTTCCAATAGGCAGTGTGTTTGCACCCCCTGATAATACGTGAAGTCCATATTAGACATCCTTGATGAAAAATGGCTATGTGCTTTACATAGTTTCTGCAAAACTGGCAGTGTGCTTAGCCAAGGAAAGAAGATGGGAAGCAGAAATGCAGGGCAGAGGCCCAAGACACACCCAACCTTTTCACATACAGCTGCTCATGTATAGCGTGAGACATTTTTTTCATTGTTCTAAAATTGAATGAAACAACTATTCAGATAACATTTTATGAAGTTACTTATGTTAACTAAATCTCTGAAATATTAGCTGTGAAGTTAGATATGCTTTGTTTTATTTGATTCATATTGATATCTATTGATGGATAATGTCTAAGTAAAGGAAGGAGGAAATCTCCAGATGCAGAATACATTCAAACAGAGTTCTTCCTCAGGTGTCCTTTTAAACAACAAGTTTCAGCCTCCCTGAACACAGCATATATGCTTGGCTCAGTCATAACACAAAAGCACAAAACTTGTGAGCCTGAAGGGCTTCTTCCATCTTTTTTTTCACGCAATAGACAGCTCCCACTTTCCTTTCCAGGTGATGCTTGGATTTAATCTATGCTGAGCTACTGATACCTATAGTGGTGGCTATAATATATTCATCTCTTGTCAGCTACTGCTTTTAAAAAAGGAGTTTCTATAAATTATGCTAAATACTTGGGTTTGGATTTGGCCATTCAGGCTTCTACTTGGAAGCTAGCTCTGCTCCATTTCATATCCATTTCTCTTGGTATCTTTCCCTCCTTTTGTGATTTTTCTACTGGTTCACTTCATTTTATTCTTCCAGGTTTTCCATCAAAGAAACAAAGAAGATATAAAAGTTCAAGGGACCTAAATAAGCTTTGTTTGCCCCAGTTCTCCAATGAAGAATTTTAAAAAGTGCAATCCTTGAAAATCTATAGCATTCCCAGCCTGCCTCTTTATATCTTTCTTCTTCTGGGAAAATGCTTATTTTAATGCTTATGTTAATGCTTAACTCATTAGGGGTTTTTTTTAAGCTAAATATTAGAACTTTAGTTACTTTTCCAGTTTTCTCTATCATTAAAAAACATCCATGCAGATTAACTCTTCAGAATAGATTTCAAAGTTCCTTGTTGCATTTATGTTTCTATCTCTACTTGCCAAACCTGAGTTGTCTGTGTTCCAATTTATTATACTGGATGAAGTATATCCTTTATATGTAGCTATATTCTGTATGTGATTATAAAAACCTTTTAGAAGGGGTTACCCTAATATCACTGCCATAAATTGCAGCCTTTGAGATAGCTAGATGATGGCAGTGGCATTCAATGTGTAATTATATTATGTTTTATATTAGGTTTTTACTCTAAGCAGCTTACAATAATACAACAAAATAAACAGCAAAACAAAATACAGTTCTTATCCAAATCAGTAACAATATTTGTAATAACAGCCCTCATCACCCCATCAGCTTCCTCTTAGTTACTAGGAAAACCATTTACAATCCATACCCATCTATTGTGAGTATGTCAGTATTTATCCATCGTTGTGCATATAGTAATCTTGCTGCAGTTGCCATATATAAAATCAATCTTCCATAAGTCTTTTTTAATTGATTATCCATAAGTCCCAATAAAAAGAGTTCTGGTTTCATCTTAATATTACAAATTTAAAATTCTTTGTATCATCATATGTATTTGTGTTCAGAATATTTTTGCTTTTTCACAAGTTCACCATGCATGGTAAAATATTCCTTCATGTCTTTCACATTTCCAACATTGAGCAGATATATACCTTTATACATCTTAAATAATTTTTCTAGTATCACATATCAACAGTACATCATTTTATAAAAATTCTCAATTTATAACACAATCTAAATTTCAGTCCTTTTACCCGCATTCCTTCCCATTGATCCATCTGTATGCTATAACCAAAGTTCTTAGACCATTTTATCATGTAGTCTTTAACTTGTTCTTCCATTTCAAATCTCAACAAAAGTTTATATGTTTTTGCAATCACATGTTCATCACTTGTACACAGTTCAGTTTCAAATTCCATCTTATGTTGTTCAATTCCAATTACCTTTTTAATCTATATTAAATCTTTCTCTTAATTGTGCATATGAAAGCCATTGAAAACTATATGTCTCTGCAGTCAGTTGTGTTCCTGACTTCTTCTTAAGTTCCCCATATTCCTGTACGAATAGATCTTGATATGTTAACCATTTCTCTTTGCCCACTGTTTCTTTTCTATAAAATGCTTCTTGTGCTGAGACCAATAGAGGCATTTTCTGGCATAGCCTAGGTTTATATTTATTCCATATTCTCAATATGGCATTCCTCACATAATGATTTTTAATATCTATGTTAACTTTAAGGTTATCGTACCATAAAAAGCCATGCCAACCAAACCTCAGGTTATGTATTTCTATTTCTAACATTCTCTTATTTCTTACCAACACCTTTTCATCTAAACCTAACAGCAGGCTGCAAAATACAATTTAAAGTCAGACAAACCTAGTTTTCCTCAGAAAATCAAATTTGGACAATAGTTGGACACCCAACTATTTTGTGTCCAAACAGACAATCAAGTTTGGAGACAAAATAGTTGGTGTCCAGAATGATTGGATGACACAAAATGAAAGTGATCTGTGGGCTTCCAGAAGAGGTATGGCAAACTGCAAAATCGGAACCAATGACCACAGCAAAAAACCAAGTGAGTAGACGAGTTCCTTGGAACCTCTCTGGATGAGGAGAAGATGGAAGATTGCCCACATCTGCTCTAGATAGCTGTTTTCCACAAGGAGATTCACAGGAGAGCAGTTTTCCGTGGGGTTTGAGTGCCGGGAGACTATGGGATTAGCCATCTTGCTCACAATCATAGCAGAGACTTTTAAAGGACACTAAGTTTCTAATCACTTTCAGAAATTGCTCATTAACTACTTCTAAGCTCTTAGAGATCTTCAGACCGACAAGTTTGAAAACACTGGATGAATCTGCTTTCAATTCTGAATAAAAGAATATTTTAATCATAAACAAGAATTAAAAGAATATGAAATAAACAGCAAAAAGCTAAATAAGATTTTGATCCTAATAATTATAAACCAACTAAGGGTCCAAATAAATTTGGAATATTGAAACTTTTACAATAAGATTTTGGAATTAATTGTAAAGAACAAACAGCTTCTTGTGGGAAATAGATTCTGTTTTGGTTTTTAGAAGACAAAACAGAGATAAGCAATTTCATGATTTCAAAAACTGGATACTAGAGGAGACTAAGTAGAGGAAAGATTTACAAGCCTGTTAAATTTTGCAAAACGTTCTAACAATGAAAATACTTAAGGAGACTTTTGTAGAATGGAATCAGAAAATAGTAGCCACAATAGCAACAGTGTCAGCAATGATGTCTGCTTCCATGGATAGACTATGTCCAAAAGATGTTATTGAAGAAATGACAGAT